ACCCCTTTCAGGCAACATCCTAGAAGTACTTCCTGACTATTACTTGCATCCTACTGGTTGGAACTTAGACATATGGCCATAGGTAATTTACAAGGAAGAATCTTTTAGTAAGAAAAGGGAGAGAATAGACATTGGTGTAGGCATCTTCAAGTCTCTACTGCAGTCTGTCTGGGGGGTTTACAATCCACTTTACCCAAAAAATTTGGTCTTTGTCCTTGGTTCCTGAGAGATAACCTCTAAAACCTTAGAATTTCCCTAGTGCTTGAAGTATCTTTGATGAGGGCTGTAGTCCACACTTACCTAACAGGTTATGCTAATGAATTGACTCTTGGGTGGGTATGACCAGGTCAGAAAGACTCACATGTGATATAAGTTGACCTCAGAATAGGGTTGAGTTCAGTCAGTCTTACGTACATAATGAGGCTCCAGTAAAGGCTCTGGACATGGGCTTCCTGGTTGATGGTAGACACCGGTACACATGGGAGGGTGTCCTTTGGGACATGAAAGCTTTGCATTGGGAACCCTCCCCAGAACTCACCTTATGTGTCTCATCATATGCGTCCTTTTTGCTATAGTAAAACTGTAATCATAAGTACATATAGTGCTTTCCTGAGTTCTGTTAGTCATTCTAGCAAATTACCAAACCCGAGGGAGTAGTGAGCCCTGGTGTCACAGTGGTTAAAGCTCTTGGCTGCTAACCAGAAAGTTGGCGGTTTGAACCCACAGGGGAAAACGACAAGGCAGTCTGCTTCCATAAAGGTTTACAGCCTTGGAAACCCTATGAGGCAGTTCTACTCTGTCCTATAGAGTTGCTATGACTCAGAATTAACTCCACGGCAGTAGGTTTTCGTTTGGGAGGGAGTAGTGGGAGCCAGCAGGTCAGAAGTGAGGGGGGGCTTGGAGACCGCTGAGTTTCTGGTTGACATTCTGAGGGGGCAGTGGGGACCCATGAGTTTGTAGCCAGCGGGTCAGAGTGAGGCAAGCTTGCAACTGTCATCTGAAGTCTTGGGCAGATGGGGCAGTTTGGAGGACTGTGCCACTTCATTTGTAAATTCTACTTATTTCGAGATAGTTAGACTCAGCTGGTGTCAGAATTGAATTGAATTTGATTGACTGACAACATACACCATTCAATGCCATTTACATTTGTTCTCAATTTTACATTTCCATCTTCATTTCCTATCTTGATTTTAAGTGTTCATCACCCTATGCTAGATTCAAGCTCTTCATTTTTTTTCTTTGTTCTTGTTTATATTAGTTATGGTAAAGTAGAAACAACTATAAGAAAGAGGCCTCCAATTATCAGTAGCTTAAGTAAGATAGAAACCAAACCTGTTGTCAAGTCGATTCCAACTCATAGAGACCCTATAGGACAGAGTGTGGCCTTATAAGACAGAGTAGAATGGCCCCATAGGATTTCCAAGGAGCAGCTGGTGGATTCGCACTGCCGACCTTTGGGTTAGCAGCCAAGCTAGTAAGAGACAGTAGGATTCAAATCCCAGGCAGTCTAGTCTATGCAATTAACCATTATACTATGTTGCCTCAAACTGATAAGACAAAAAAAAAAAAAGCCAAAGAAGAAGAAGAAAAAAAAAAAAAAGGACAAAGTATATAAACATAGGCTACAGAATAGAAAATATGAGGCCATTCATATAGGAAAGTACACTCAGGAATGCTAGTAGTTAGGAAGATACAAATTTTAAACCACAGGGATATACCATTTTCATCAATCAAATTGACAAAGGTTAAAAAGATTAATATCATCCTGTCCCGGTGAGGATATGGGAAATTTTCAGCTTTGCTAGTAGGAATATATAGGAATTACTATAATATTTTTTGGAGAGTAATTTTAGAAAAAATTTTTATTGTAATTAAGATTAAATACACTCTTGGATCTTGCATCTGCTTTTAAAAACTTTCTTGTGAAATATTATTCATACAGGAGAGTATATAAAATATAAATGCAAAGCTTAATGAATTATTATAAAGCAAATTCTTTTGTATTCACCAGGTGAAGAAGTAAATCATTTTCAGAGCCAAGAAGCTTCTCTTATAACTTCTTCCAATAAAACCCCTCTTTTCCTGCTATCTATCTCTGCTATACAAGCTTTTCCTTATTTTTCTTTGTTTATGCTTTATGTAAATGGAATCATATAATATGTATTCTTTTTGTTTCTGGATTAACATTATGTTTCTGAGATCATCTACATTCTACATGTAGCTGTAGTTCATTTATTTCCCTAATATTGAATATCCACTTTTGAGGTTTTTTTGGCTCCACTAGACAGATTCACACGATTATGATAGATCAAACTTACCATTGACTTCACTTAGGAAACACAACATACCAGCAGGATAATAGTTGTTTCTCTTCGGAGAGAGTTCTTATAGTAGAAAACACAGCAGAATGGAGTGGGAGCTAGTCGTTTTGGGCCCCACCAAATGATTGCTTATGTGAGGAAATGAGACCCACAGAACTGGGTACAATAGATCCACTGGCTTAGATTCTACATGTCACAAAGTGAAACAATGACTTTTTTAAAAAACAGATTTATAGGTTTCTGCGAAGGACATGCCCAGACACAAGAGTCACCAACTACTCAGGGAAGCCCCAAGGTCCGTCTTGTCAGGTTGTTGTTAGTTGCTGTTGAGTCTGCTGTGACTCATGGTGACCCCATGTACAGTAGAATGAATCATTGCCTGGTCTTGTGCCATCTTCATAATTGTTGGTATGCGCAAGTCCATTGTTGCAGTCACTGTGTGTTTTGAGTGCTTTCCACCTAGGGGGGCTCATCTTCTGTTGTGATTCATAGGATTTTTATTGGCTAATTTTCAGAAGTTGATTGCCAGGCCTTTCTTTCTAGTCTGTCTTAGTCTGGAAATTCTGCTGAAACCTGTCCATCCTGCTATTATTTGAAATATTGGTGACATAGCTTCTGGCATCATAGCAACATGCAAGTCACCACAGTATGACAAACTGACAGATGGGTGGTGGTCTTGTTGGGTATTTATAGTTTATTCACAGTCCTTCTAGTTCATATATAGTCTACCAATCAGAGGTCATTTTTACCATGTGCAGTGGTTCCAGTAACACAGCTGAGAGATTAGAGTTATTTTAGACTCTTCATATTGAGCAGGCCCATGTAGATCAAAGAAATCTGATCCCAGATGGCTACTAACAAAGAGGATTTTTACTAGGCAATTATCTCTAAGACTTGAATGGAGAACAGGAAGCCAGGGGTGGAGTTACTCATTTCAGAATGCCCAATTCTAGCAAATTTTGTGAGTTCTAATTTCTCAACTCTTCTACTCTTCTCCTGTAAGCTCCATTAGGGTAGAGTTGTCTGTCTTCTTTTATTGACCATTGTATCCCCAGTGCCAACTTTAGTGCCTGCTATATAGTAAACATTCAATAAATGTTTACTGAATGAATGAGTGAATAAATGCCCATTTTAGGATGGCAGTTAAATAGTTGGTTATTTCATAAATTGCCCTTCTCTGGAATGCCTATATTTGGCTCCAGTTTACAGAACATCTCACCTTTGCTTCTGCTCAGCACTGTCATTACTTTTGGGTTCATCTGTCTCCTCAGTAGGGCTGTGAGTTACTCAGAAGCAAAATCTGATTTTTATTCACATTTTCACTCTATATCTCACAGAACAACTAATTTAGTACGTTCTAAATATAGTAGGTTCTTGAAAAAGTGTTTTATGTTTCCAGATCACTGCTTCTAATGACATAACTCATTTGATCATTTGATCACACAAAAAACACAATTAATTGATTCTACTACCTACTCACTGTTCCTCTCACACCACTTTTGAACCCATGCCCATCTTAAGTTATGTGATCCAGCATTATGATCACTCTACTCATTCTCCTGTCTACACCTTCAACTTACTTGTCCCACTTCTGTTTGAAATACTTGTTAACTCCCTCTACATTTACCTCGTGGAATCCTAAACACTCACAAGGCTTTAAAGAAAATATGTGTGCTAACGACTCAAAAATTGATAGATCTAGCCTAAAACTTTCCCTTGAAATTCAGTCACATGTCCAACTGTTTATTCTATGTCTCCACTTGAATGACAACAGTCATCTTAAACATAGCATGTCCAAATCTGAACTTATACTCTTCCCTCATCCCAAACCTGCTCCTCTAGCAGTCTTCCCCATCTCAATTCCATCCTCCCAGTTATTCAGCTCAGTCATGACTCCTTTCTGTCATACCTCGTTTCTAATCCATTGTCCAGGTTGATGGGAACTAGCAACAAATTTCAAAATATATCCATTATCCAAATTCTTCTACTTACTTACCTTGCCATAATCCTGATCCAAGCCACCATTTCCTGTTACTTAACTAACTGTATGCTCCCTCTCTTGCCACATCCCATTCTTCACTCACCAGTCTTCCCCATCCCCCTGTTCTCAACACAGCAACTGGAGTAATTCTGTTAAAACTTAAGTCAAATCATGCCACACCTCTTCTCACAGCTCTGCAATAGCTTCTCGCCTCACTCAGAGGCAGTCTGGCTACTTGTTGCCTCCTCTCTGACCTTTCCACCCTTGCTTATTCACTCCAGCCACAGTTGGACTGATACCACTTGCATGGAGGGAGTAAAGGTTTTGCTTAAATTTAACCAACACTGATGTATGTGAGAGACCGTATCAGTCTTCAACATAATAGAAGCTGTTCTGGATTTTACCTATGAAGAAGGCATATGCTAACAAGACTTCTGACAACCATCAGAGTTTTTTTTTTTTTTTTTTCAGAAGCAAAAAAGATCTTTGTCCTCATAAAAACTATGTTCCTCAATCCAAGAGAAGGGCAAGATAAATCTAGGAGGCCTGTGTATATATTTTTTTGTTGTCCTGATTTTTTTGTGTAAAATATTCTTATTAAAAAGGCAAAGTACCTTTTCTAGAAAATAGTTATACTTAGCTGCTTTAAGTTGATTAATTAAAAATTGGAACTGATAGCTATAATTATTTTTATTTAGACCATCATTTTCAGTCACAAGAGAATACATCTTGAGATTCAACCATACACAGAACCTAAGAGAGAAGGAACAGTTAAAGGAACGAATTACAAAAAATATTCTTAGATGTAAGGTAATGGTACACTATTTGATTACTTTTGTATGTGAAATTTTTTTTCTACCTGATGGATGATTACATGTTCTAAAATATTGGAAGAAAATGTAAGTATACAATTTTTCTTTAGTTATAAAGTCAGTTAAGAATATTAATGCAAATGGAAGTTAAAGCTTGTAACCAAATAATTCAATGTCAAATGGCTTTTTGGGTAAAGGTTTCCCATAAATTATTGGAGAATATAGCTATTGGTACCAGTCCAGCAGCCCACAGCAAAATATCAAAGACTGGCAAATAAATCATTATGAAAAATTTTCCTGAAAAAAAGTTAACTACGATATGTTGTTGTTGTTAGGTGCCCTCAATTCGATTCCAACTCATAGCGACCCTGTGTACAACAGAATGAAACACTGTGTGGTCCTGCACCATCCTCACAATCATTGTTATGCTTGAGCCAGTTGTTACAGCCACTGTATCAGTGCATCAGGTTGAGGGTCTTCCTCTTTTTCGCTGACCCTCTACTTTACCAAGCATGATGTCCTTCTCCACGGACTGATCCCTTCTGATAACATGTCCAAAGTGTGTGAGACGAAGTTCTGCCATCCTCGCTTCCAACGAGCATTCTGGCTAAGATATGATACAACCCAAAAAGGAAACAAAGCCTTTCTAAACATTCACTAAACACACACAAAATACTCTGTTCTTTGTAATGAACTGTTCTTCACCTACCTTACAAAAAATACAATCTTTAAAGCATTAATTCTCAAATTTTGAAATAGGTATCCAAAGAGAACAGGAAGTGAAATAAGTCCTTGCTTTTTCTTTCCTACATTAGATTCAGTTTCAGTTAGGCAGAGAATTAATATATATGTGATTTTGCTATGATACCAAATACTTAATGAAGTAAAAACTGCATAAAAGTAGTGCATAAATTAAATCACCTGTTTTTTTCCCCAGTCTTTTGTTTCATAATTGCCTAAGTATTTAAAATTTTTGAAAAACCTATTTTTAAAAATTTGATTAGAAGAAAGAGTATACTTGGGAGCCCTGGTGGTGCAGTGGAGAGTTACCGCTGCTGACCAAAAGGTCGGCGGTTTGAATCCACCAGGTGCTCCTTGGTAACTTTATGGGGCAGTTCTACTCTGTCATATCGGGTTGCTGAGTCGCAGTTGACTTGACAGCAATGAATTTGGTTTGTTTTTTGGTTTTTCATGAGTATGCATGCAGGCAGGTGCCAGGAGGAGCACCCATCAGTGAGCTTCAGGCTGACTGCCCCTGGGGAATGGGCCCAATAAGGGAAGAGAGACAGAGGGCACCCTGGACAGTCTTGATTATCTCTTTATGTTCATCAGCGTTGGCTCATTAACACTGAAGTAGCCAGTTTTCCAGCAAATTGACATCAAACTAGTTTCTGGTTAATCACATTTCCTCATTACTTTCCATTATAAAATCAGAGATGCAATCTCTTGGGGGTAAATGAGATAAAAGTAATTCCTAGAAAGTAAAGCGAGAGAATTATTTTCAGCAAATAATTAATGATACTACTCAGGATATTAGGAGCCCTGGTGGCTCAGGGGTTAAGAGCTTGACTATTAAACAAAAGGTTGGAAGTTAAAATCCACCAGCTGCTCCTTGGAAACCCTAGAGGAGTTCTACTCTGTCCTATAGGGTTGCTATGAGTCGGAATCGACTTGACAGCAATGGGTTTGGTTTTGACTCAGAATATTAATCATTTTCTACATTTTAACACTAATACAATTTACATAAAATGTCAAAAATTAAAAATAATAAAATGTAAAGTTTTATACAAGTCTAACCACAGAGCATCAGCTTCATTGAACGAGTTTCAGAATATAATTAAGGGATAATCAAATAAATAAATAATAAAAAGCTTACATTTTGGTTTGCCTCTTTTTTGCTTCCCCATAAGAGAAGATTGGGTCTCAAAACCTTAGGCTCTGGGAAGCATGTGAATATCCCTGATGGGTGGATTGAAGCAACATATCTGGCTCAATGCAAGGGAGATGTCCAAGAAGGTATGTGCTCTAACTAAGCTGTTTGTAATTAACTCTATTTTCTAGGTCAGCAGTGAAGGCATTATTTGAGACCTTAACTTCTAGAAATTGTACAGGAGCCAAGAAAAGTTTGCCTTTCTCTATCAAAATTTCTTATAATGTTTCATTATGAAAGTTCATTTTATGATTTTGAATTTATGAATTTGAGTACTCAACTTTTTAATTACAACATTGTTTTAAACACTTTTGCTCAACATAGTCTTTATTACTTTTTTCTAAAATTAGTAACTAATTAAAATAATATAAAATATCACTTAATGATTTTGAATTAAAATTGGCATTATACTTTAGAGAAACCTGTTTCAGCATTTTGTAATAATTATTACTGATAAAACATTAATCAATGGCCATTCGTTTTTTACTTCTTTTAAACAGCAAGGTTTACTCATTTCCTTTACATTTGTCACTTCCCATTCATATGTTTCCTTTCAAACCACCCTCCAACCAATCTAAAAAAGAAATTAAAAAACATTATTTTTTAGGGAATAAAATTCCTTCTATCATTATCCTAAATTTTATGAGTACACGTTTTTAAATGAGTTTTAGAATGTTAACCACATGAAGTCAGAGAGCCATTTCCCCGTGAAAATTGTGTTTTGTAGTACCGTCTGGGAGCTTTCAAGCAATAGGAAGAGTAAGAGCTATTTTGTATTTAATTTGCATTTATGGCACTTTATCACAGTGCCATCCACAGCCTGACCTCTATTAAATATTTAATGATATTGGGGTAAGCACTCTTGGTTGCTCAACCAGCAGTCAATTCCTCTTTATCAATTAATCCCTCCGTTACGTTCAGATCCCTAGTGGTGCAAATGGTTTGTACTCAGTTGCTAACCTAAAGGTTGGCAGTTCAAATCCACCCAGTGGTACCATGGAAGAAAAGGCTTCTGTTAACATTACAGCCAAGAAAACCCTATGGAGCAGTACTAATCTCTAACATATGGGGTTGCCATGAGTTGGAATCGACTCAAAGGCAGTGCATTCTTTATGTTCAAATATCCTGCAGTAGTGTGATTGAGAAAAACACTGGCCTTTGCCCAGCCCCAAGGGGTGATTTGTGGTTGGTCTAAGCCAATCATGGCAGTTCCCTTTGCCAGTGATTGAATTAGGGGTGGCTACATGACCTGGTCTGGACCAAAGAAATGTAGGCATAGATTTTTTTTGGCTACTTTTTATTCACTTGCTTTTGAAAAAGGCATGCCTGGGGAGAAAGCATCCCCTTCTCTCCCAACTCCCTTCTTTATTCCTATCTAAATTACTTCATGTAAGAACGTGATGCCTGGGGCTTTGTGTAGTCTTCATAGTCATACACATCAGGGGGAGCTAAAAGATGGAAAAAATATACACATAGTAAGTAGTTGTATCAGCCAACCCTGGAACCTTTCTAACGCTGAGCTTGTGAAAGAGTTAAACATCCTCATTTTGAAAACAGTTATGGTTGAGTTTTCTGTTATACATAGCCAAAAGCATTTTAACTCATTCAGATATTGAACTCTAAATAGCACCCTAAATATGATTTCTTCTCACCAGCTCCAGAACTAAAATACTCTCCTAATTAGTGTCCCGCCTGTACTCTTGCCCACTTCTTGTTCTACATACAGTTCACCCACCACTCAGCAGTGACTATTCTAAAGCTTAAATCAGTTCCACTGGCTTCTCATTACAGGTAAAATGAGCCCAAACTCCATATTGTGGCCTACAAGGCTCTGTATGATCTGGTCCTTGGCTACCTTGCCTACTTATTCGTTATGCTCCAGCCAGACTGGCCTCCTTCCTGTCCCTTGAACATGCCAGGGTTTTTCCTTCCTCATATTCTTGCATTTGCTCTTCTTCCCCAGATACTTAATGGCAGCTCCCAGAAAACCTTTTTAATGACTTGAGGTGCTCATCTCTCTAGATTCTTAACTCCATGTTCTTCCTCTTCCAGCTATGCCTGGTCCTCTTTCCTCTGCCTCAATTTTCTAGTCTTCCACTCTTCTCTTTTATACCATTTGTCCTTAGCACTGCCTTTCATCATCCAGTTCTGTCATATTTCCTCACCATTATATATGTGGTGTCCTGATCAATTTAATGTTGGCCGGGACAGCTGGGGATCCTCAGGCATTTCTCTTTTTCTCTATGTAGTATCTTCATCTTGGTGATTTATGAGTAGTTGGACTTCCTACATGGCACCTTAGACTTCCAAAGTTAGTATCTTGAGAGAGAGAGACCCGGGAAGAAGCTTATTGTCTTTTCTTATCTAGGCTCTGTGTGTGTGTCACACTGTGTCAGTTCTGCCTCAGTCTACTGGCTGAAGCAGTCACAAGTCCTTCTCAGGCTCAAGGGGAGGGGTCATAGACCTTACCTCTTGATGAGAGGAGTGTCAAAGAATTTGAACGTATGTTTTAAATTTACAACCTGGTCCTGGTGACTGAACAAATAGTTGATTGCAAGAATTAATTGTACCATGTAGAAAAATTGCATAATGTTTAAATGATGGAGTCTACTTTTTAATATTTCAGAAGCTTTAAATATGCTTTATGATTCCCTGGACCATGCTTCCTTTGATTACTATCAGCTTCCTGCCTTATTTTTTGTTGCGGAATCAGTTTTATATAGACTCTGTTGTGATGCGTTCCAAAAGGCATACTTATATTCAGTTGAAATGAAGCTGGCAAAGGTATGTTTTAAAATATTTTAAAATGTTTTTTATTTGCTGCATGTATTATATGTAAACACATGGCATCAGTTTTAGAGTCTAAACAGGCGATTTGATTTTATTATGGCATATCCTCTTGTAGTTTAATTTTAATTTTCTGTAAATGTGGGCAATACATTAATATTTGGTAGACAAATGCAGATAATTTGAAGAAATACACTATCATGAACTGTGTAAGAAAATAATATCTAATTAAAAACTAAGTTTATACTTTTCGTTTGGATATGTTTATGTGTGTGTTTTAAGGCTTTTTGCTATGCCGCTTTCTTTTCCATTTAAAAATGCTGACAGATAGCCTTAAGTGGCTATCCGATTTGAGAAGATGAGTTGTTCTCTCAATATTCTGTCACTTTAGAGCTATAAGGTCGGGAACTACCTTTAGTAGCTCATGTTTTATAAGGTTTTGGAAGCCATATGATTCTACTACCTGTAATGATCATGGTTGATTGCTGCAAAATTTATTATTAGTCAAATGAATTTAGCTTACCTACTGGTTTTAATGTAAAGAAAGAAAAGAAAAGCTAGATGGTTTTCTTTACTATCAGATAGATATGAGACAATTGAAATTAATTACGATGTTTCTTGCAAAAATATATTTTTTAATTTCATTTTGACTCTGAACTGTTAAAAACCAAGCATGAAAGACTATTCATGAGTCAGTGGAAACTTCCTGGGAGATGGTGTATTTCAGTCCTTAGAAATCCAGCTTACACACTCTCTGACAGGTCTGGGGGCAAGACTTACAGGTACCAAGCAAGAGAAGATACAGGGAGCACAGAATAGAAATTGAACACGCAAAGAACGGAGGTTTTGCACAGAGGAATGATTGGAGGAAAAGAGACAGGGTATTAGTTGCCAATAGCCTTCTTTGGATAATGGGATTGTGATGATTTTTTTTTTTCTTCTTTTTTGTATATTTCTCAAACTTGCCATTATGGATATATATTGCTTTTATAATGGGGGTAAAAAAAAAGAATGGAAAAACTCAGAGCAAGTCTAGCTTTGCTTTCTTTTTCTTCTCATCTCCTTTTGTGACCATTCTCCATTTCTTATCTTTTCTGTTTCTGATATCAATAAAAATAGCATAAAATTAAGTTTAAACCATTGAACACGTTGCTTAACTTTATACTCACCATGCCGTTTAGCTTTTAGAAGATTCCGGTATCTTCCCATCTGAGAGGTTAATCCATTTGCACAGGTTCATACAGCAGCTGAAACACTTAAACAGCACTTTACTATGCACCAGGCACAATTCTAGGTCCTTTAGATATATGAATTTATTTACTCCTCACAGCAATCTTATGTGGTAGATGCTATTATTATCCACTGTTTTACAGAGGAGGAAACTGTGGCATAGAAAGTTTAAGTGACTTTCTCAAGATTTCAGCCAGTAGGTGGCAGAGACGTTTTTGAAAGCCAGGCATTGAAGTTCCAGAGTCCATGATCTACCTTGGTCTTCTAATTTAGTAAACTTTAAAGCTTAGTCTTTATTGTTCTAGGTAATATAAACTCATTGGTGGAAATAAGCATGTTCTGTATCTATAAGTGCCTTTGATTTCAGACAAGAAACCATTTCAGTTGTACTCTTTGCCCTTGTAGAGTTTTTATCATTTATCTAGAAGTCACTTGGAAACCTCCCTTTTGCTCTTCTTTTTTGGACAGAATAGTGCATTGAAGGATATTGCCATGGAGGCATCGCCTACCTCTATGTGCACAGTTTTGTTCCTCCATTGATAAAGTAGTAAAGCTTAGGGTTGGGTAGAGCTGGGAACATCTGATTCATTATTTCCTTTCATATTTTGTGTGCATTCTCTCTTCCTTATCTACTGCAGATTGTAGAATCTTCCCAACTATTGAAGTCTGATCACTACAGTGTAGAGAATAACATATAATCAGCAATAGTTTAATGTATTTTAGACTGAGATATAGTCAGTGCTCTTTAAGCTTCTGTGGAAGGAAATGGAACATATAACCAACTTAAAATACAACACATAAAAAATATTATCCAGCATTTCTATTTCACAGTGAGCTAAAGGGTGTCAGAAGAAATGAAGAGAAGACGAGATGGAAATAGAAGAAAAGAAAGGGGAAGAGACAACAGAAAGGAAAGATGAGAGAACAGAGAAAGGAAGTTGACAAGAAGACAAAGCCTGAGTGATCAAGCTATAGAGAGATATTGTTGTTAGTTGCTGTCCAGTCAGTTCCTACTCATGGCAACCACATGTGTTAGAGTAGAACTGCTCCATAGGGTTTTCTTGGCTGTAATCTTAATGGAAGCAGATTTCCGGGCCTTTTCTTCTGTAGTACCACTCATGGGTTTGAATTGGCAACCTTTTGGTTAGCAGTTGAGTGCAAACTATTTGCGCCACCTAGGGGCATTATAGAGAGAACATGTACACAAATGATAGAAGAGGAGAGATGCATAGAAAGTCCCAGAATTCTTTAGAGATATGAAAAGGTGAACTCTTCAATAACAATCTGGCCTTTCAGAATATTACAGAGGGAAGCTTTTAAAACCATTTTTGTAACCATAGTTGTAACGAGGGATAGCCTGTGAGTTATATGAAACCATGACCATGTTGTTATTGTTGTTAGGTGCTATCAGGTCAGTTCTGACTCATAGTGACCCTATGTACAACAGAATGAAACACTGCCTGGTTCTGCACCATCCTTACAGTCGTTGCTATGTTTGAGCCCATAATTGCAGCCATCGTGTCAATCCATCTCGTTGAGGGTCTTCCTTTTTTTCACTGACCCTCTACTTTACCAAGCCATGATGTCTTTCTACAGGGACTGGTCCCTTCTGATAGCACGTCTAAAGTGTATGAGGCAAAGTCTCATCATCTTTGCTTCTAAGGAGCATTCTGGCTGTACTTCTTCCAAGACAGGTTTGTTCATTCTTCTGGCAGTCCATGATATATTCAGTATTCTTCACTAACACCATAATTTGAAGGCATCAATTCTTCTTTGGTCTTCTTTAATAATTGTCCAGCTTTCATATGCACGAGGCAATTGAAAATACCATGGCTTCGGTCAGCACACCTTAGTGCTTAAGGTGCATCTTTGCTTTTTAACACTTTAAAGAGGTCTTTTGCAGCATGTTTTCCCAATGCAGTACATTGTTTAATTTCTTGACTGCTGCTTCCATGGGCGTTAATTGTGGATCCAAGTAAAATGTAATCCTTGACGTCAGTCTTTTCTCTGTTTATCATGATGTTGCTTATTGGTCCAGTTGTGAGAATTTTGTTTTCTTTATGTTGAGGTGTAATCCATACTAAAGACTGTCATCTTTGATCTTCATTAGTTAACTACTTCAAGTCCTCTTCACTGCCAGCAAGCAAGGTTGTGTCATCTGCATATGGCAGGTTGTTAATGAATCTTCCTCCAATCCTGATGCTGCCTTCTTCATTTAATCCAGCTTCTCGGATTATTTGCTCACATGCAGATTGGATAAGTATGGTGAAACAATGCAACCCTGATGCACACCTTTCCTGATTTTAAGCATGCAGTATCCCCTTGTTCTGTTCAAATGACTGCCTCTTGGTCTATGTACAGGTTCCTCATGAGCACAATTAAGTGTTCTGGAATTCCCATTTTTTGCAATGTTACCCATAATTTGTACATGTTTATAATTTATGAATACATCTACAAATATTAATTATGCATTATCAAAATTTATTTTACTAATGGTGGTTTGTGTTAAAAATATTTGGAAGTCACTGCTATAGGAGAAAGTGAATGACTTTTGGAGCAATCTACATGTCCTCAGTTCATACTCCAGTAATGCTACTTATTAACTTAATAGAATCATCAGTGTTTTTTGTTTGTTTTGTTTTTTACATGTAGATCTGATAATACACTGCAATCTTGTTAAGAGGATTGGAGAGTTCAGGGGAGATATATATATATATATATATATACATACACGCACACACATATATACATATATATTTGGGATTTTATATGTGTGTATATATACACACATAATACATATATTTATATACATATATAATATATATTTATCTATTTCCTGGTATGTTTTCGATAGTGATAACTATTGTTATTATTTTGTTCTTCTCCATAATGTTATGGTTTAGCAACTAGGAAATTTGTACTGCATTTATTTCTATATTTTATGTGTTTTTTTCCTCACTTTCTGTGAAATCTTGTGTATTATATACTTTTGAAGATATGATTTTCTGTAGTCTATCTAAACAGAACTGTTTTAGGTATGCATTTTTTTAAACTGCATGGAAGTAAAGCATTTTATAGTGCTTATTTAGTAATTACATTTTTTTCCATGTGGAGATGGGGAGCTTAGTACAGTATACTTAAGCATGAGCAGAATATTTCTCAACACTATTTGAAACGATGCTTTTCAAACTCTTTTGACTGATACTCGTAGGAAGAAGTATCTTCTACATTGCAATCCTGACTACACATAGTACACACTAGTTTATATACTGAAACAAGGGATAGTACAATGTATTATGATCTTTTCTGTTTTATTTAATTAAAAAAAAAAAAAAAACCCCAGTTGATTTCATGACCCACATAAGGTCATGACCTGTAGTTTGAAAAATACTCTTCTAAAGGGCACAGAACAAAACAGCATTCACTGTTGGTCATTATATGTAATGTAGAGATGTTACATAAAAGTCTTTTGGCTGAACCAACATTTCAACTTTGCTATAAATGTTTTAAAGTTATTTAAAAAACACATAATCTCAAGTGAGTTTGAAATTGTTTTATCAAAAATAAATGTAATAATAAAAGTTTTTTTTCTCATAGTTTAGAAACATTTATTGATGCAACACAAAAATGCTTTCTTCTTTCTCTTTTGACAGATTGGCTATTTGGTCTTCTTACGACTTTTTGTATTTTTCCTGCATGGTCACCTAGGAGATTTTAAAGAACATTTACTTAGGCTTCGACAATATTTAAACGGTAGAGTATCTTTTATTTTCTAAACTTATGAATGTTTTATGTTATATTCTGAGAAGCTCAGACTTCCACTATAAAGAATGTAAGCTATATTTTATTTTTCTTGAAAGATAATAGCTAGAGCTGAAGAGCGCAGCTTCTAGGTCAAATGTATATGTTCAGCTTTTGTGCTCCTTAACTAGCTGTGTGACCTTGTCTGTGACTCAGTTTCTTCATCTGTAATAGTATCTACCTCACTGTTGGCTAGAAAGTTAAATTCATATTGCATTAAGGTAACACTCATGGCTATGAAGATGCTGGACTGGAGTAAGGAGGGAGTGGAGGCAGAGGGTCAGTTAGCTATGGCAGTAGTATAGGCAAGAGATGTTAAAGGTGTCAGCTATTACAGTGGAAATGGGATAGGCTTTTGAAAAATATTTGTGAGATAAAAGAGACTGGATTTAGTAAACATTTGGATCCAGAGTATATATAAGGGAAAGTGAGGAATTGAGGAGCATTAAGTTTTTATACATATTTGACTAATAGGATAGAGATAATGATGCTCTAAACTGAGAAATGTTGAGAAGACATTGGAAATATTGAATTTGAAGGTTGCTCTGGTATGAATAATTAGTGGGCAGATGAAAATGTATGGAGTTAGGGAAATAAGTGAAGCTTGGGATATAGTTTTGAGAGTCCTCTATGTTAATGTGGCTGAGATAATTTGGGAGTGAGAGGGAAGAAATTAATTTTAGGAATAGAATCTCAAGGAACACAAACCTTTAATGGATTATTGGAGGAGCCAAACAAAACCAAAACCAAACCCACTGCTGTCTAGTAGAATTGCCCCATAGGGTGTCCAAGGCTGTAAATCTTTATGGAAGCAGACTGCCACATCTTTCTCCCTTGGAACATTTGGTGAGTTCAAACCACTGACCTTTCAGTTAACAGCCAAGTGCTTAACTACTGCACCACCAGGGCTCCTACTGGAGGAACAGACACCAGTAAAAGAGAATTAAGTGAAGTAGGAAGGAGTAGTGGCATAGAAATCCAAGGATGGGAGGTTCAAGAAGATCAACATTATCAAGAGCTGTACAAGTATTAAATAGTTGTGTTCTTACCTGCTGTGAAGATGACCCCTGACTCATGGTGACCCCATACACAAAAGAAGGAAATGCTACTTGGTCATGCACCATCCCTATGATCTCTTGTGGATTGGACCTTTGTGATCCATAGTGTCATTGACTGATTCTTGGAAGTAGATTGGTTGGTCTTCCTAGTCTCCTGGTCTTGAAGTGCCGCTGGAACCTGTTCAGCATCATAGCAACACACAAACCTCCACTGACAGAAGGGTGGTAGCTGCACATGAGGTACATTGACTGGAAATCAAACCTGAGTATCCTGCATGTAAGGCAGGAATTGCACCACAGAACCACCAATGCCTTACTGAAAAATCCAGTTGCTGTCGAGTGGACTCTGAGTCATGGCAACCGCATGTGTGTAAAAGTAGGACTGTGCTCCATAGTGATTTTTCAATGGCTGATTTTTTGGAAGTTGATCTTTAGGCCTTTCTTCTGTGGAACCTCTGTGTAGATTCATACTTCTAACCTTCCGTTTAGCAGCTAAGCACGTTAACTATTTTTATCAGCCAGGGACTCCTCCATTAAATAGCAGGACATCTGAAAATTGATGATGGGTCTCTGTAATGAGAAAGTCATTGTTGATCTTGAGGGAGCCTCCCCGGTTGGGTGGTGGAAGCAAAATTCAGATTGGAGTCCAATAAAGAGTGAAGGGAAAGTTTAGACATGAGACAGAGATTGTGAACTATTTCAAAAAACATAGCTACAAAGGGAAGGAGAAATATTAGTCAATCATTTGGATTAAAAAAATAAGGTGAAACAGGACCCATATGTCACACCATACACAAAAACTAATTCAAAATGGATCAAAGACCTAAATATAAAGCCAAAAACTATAAAGATCATAGGAGAAAAAATAGGATCAATGCTAGAGGCCCTAATACATGACATTAACAGGATACAAACCGTAACTAACAATACACAAACACCAGAAGAAAAGCTAGATAACGGATCTTCTAAAAATTAAACACTTATGCTCATCAAAAGACTTCACAAAAAGAGTAAAAAGAGAACCTACAAACTGGGAAAAAATTTTTTTCTATGACAAATCTGACAATGGTCTAATCTCTAAAATCTACAGGAAAATCCAATACCTCTACAACAAAAAGACAAATAATCCAATTAAAAAATGGGCAAAAAATATGAACAGACACTTCACCAAAGAAGACATTTAGGCAGCTAACAGACACATGAGGAAGTACTCTGGATCACTAGCCGTTAGAGAAATGCAAATCAAAACCACAATGAAATACTGTCTCACCCTGACATTACTGGCACTAATCAGAAAAAACAGAAAATAACAAATGTTGGAGAGGCTGCAGGGAGATTGGAACTCTTATGCACTGATGGTGGGAATGCAAAATGGTACAACAATTTTGGAAAATGATATGGCGCTTCCTTAGAAAGCTAGAAATAGAAATACCATATGATCCAGCAATCCCTCTCCTAGGAATATATCCTAGAGAAATAAGAGCCATGTTCATTGCAGCATTATTCACAATAGCAAAAAGATAGAAACAAGTGCTCATCAACAGATGAATGGATAAACAAACCATGGTACATACACACAATGGAATACTATGCAACGATAAAGAGCAATGATGAATCTGTGAAACATCTCACAACATAGATGAATCTGGAGGGCATTACGCTGAGTGAAATAGGTCAATCACAAAAGGACAAATATTGTTTGAGACTACTACTATAATATGAAAAGGGTTTACACACAAAAAGAAATAATCTTTGATGGTTACGAGGGAGGGGAACGGTGGGGGGTGGAAATCACTAAATAGACAATAGAGGAGTGGTAACTTTGGTGAAGGATAAGACAGTACAGGATACTGGGGAAGCCCATGCAGCTTGACCAAGGCAAGGTCATGGAAGCTCCATAGATGCATCCAAACTCCTTAAGGGGCTGAATTACTGGGCTGAGGGCTGGGTACCATGGTCTCCGGGAATATCTAGCTCAGTTGGCATAACATAGTTTATGAAGAAAATGTTCTACATCTTACTTTGGTGAGTAGCATTTGGGATCTTAAAAGCTTGTGAGCGGCCATCTAAGATACTGCACTTGTTGCACCCTGTCTGGGGCAAGGGAGAATGAAGAAAACCAAAGACACAAGGAAAAGATTAGCGAAGAGGACTAATGGACCACAAGTACCACAGCCTCCACCAGACTGAGTCCAGCTCAATTTGATCGTGCCTGACTACCACCACCGACTGCTCTGACAGGGATCACAATACAGGGTCCTGGACAGAGCTGGAGAAAAATGTAGAACAAAATTCTAACTCACAAAGAAAGACCAGACTTACTGGTCTGACAGAGACTGAAGAAACCCCGAGAGTATAGCCCCCCGACTCCCTTTTAACTCAGTACTGAAGTCACTCCTGAGGTTCACCCTTCAGCCAAAGAAGGCAGGAGGGGACAGGAAAGCTGGTAATGGGGAACCCAAGGTCAAGAAGGGGAGAGTGTTGACATGTCATGGGAATGGCATCCAATGTCACAAAACAATATATGTATTAATTGTTTAATGAGAAACTAATTTACTCTGTAAACCTGCATCTAAAGTACCATTTTAAAAAAGTATAAAGAAAAAAATAATGTAAAGAAAAGATAGTATGTTGTAGGCTAAAGGAAGGAAAGACAATGTATAAGAAAGGGAAGAATATTTGATGGCAATAGTTATAGAGAAGGGAATAGGAGGAAATAGAAGTGTTTTGGAGACTGACCAATATGTACCACCACTACAAGTCTTAACAAGATGTGAAACCAAGAGGAAACTGTAGATTGGCAGAATAAGAATCCATGTCTATCTTGTAACTCCTTACAGCGTTAGGTATATTGGCTCACTAAATGTTCTGATGATGGTGGTAAATAGTTTTTGAAAAATTATTTGAATAAAATCTCAAGTTCTCACATTAACTTGTTATTGTGGATATGCCTTAAGAGTACCAACAGCTTTGTTTCATATGAGGATAAAATTCCCGATTTTGCCCTCTCACCAAATACTGTTAAGTAGAGCCCTAGGCTGTATCTCTGTTTCTTACCTGAGCCCATTAGCAGCTGCTGTCTACCCACATGGCCCCATCAGAAGAATGGTCATGATTAATTTTTCCACTGTGTGGATTGACTGAAACTCAAAGATTGCCTAGATGTTTATAGAAAGAAAAGCCACAGAGATGGTTCTGCTAAATATCACAGTCTTATGTTAAATGACATAATTATTGCCCGTGTTTAAATAAACGCTTTTAAAAATCAGTAATAATATCTTGGAAAGAAATAAAACTAGAGAAAGGGATTAAAAACAGTGACATTGACTTGTTTGTAGAATTATAATTCCAAGTATCCACTATAAATAATCTATTATAACTTGATTTATTTTTGGCTGGGAGCTTCCAAGCATTGTTGAGCAGTAACTACAGATAATTGAGTATTCAACCATTATGCAATTGCTTCCTGAATTATGTAAACTCTTATGTATGAATTATTTACCTTGTAGTTTTCTATTACACCACCAGGGGTCATACATAACATTATAAATCTTATATAGATGAGGGAAATGTACAGCAGTTTCAGCATCCAAGTACTGAATTTAATTGTACTTTTTAACTAAAAGAGAAATGAAACACAGTATAAAATATTAATGAAATATTTTTTGCAAATTATTTTTCTTACTATAGTGCTTTATTTATCTGAAGACACATATTACAAGTATCCAAACATCTTTTCAAATGTGGCATTCATCCTGAAAACCTCGGAAATTATGTATGAAAGAGTACTACTTTCTGAATCAACTTTTAGCCCTAGTGGAAACACAGAAGGATATGAGAATGTGTATTCTGGTATGGAGGTAATATACCCTGGTGTATGATGCTATGGTTAAATAATTGTGCTTGGTGATTCAGTAGGCCTTGCTGAAGATGAGTTTAGCTGTGGGCTAAACAGCAAAGACACTAATTCATGCAACATGTGTACAATTTCTGGATTGTAATGTAATAGGATTAATAGTGGGGCACCAATATGCACCACTGCTACTTCAAATGAAATAATGCCATATGTTCTGTCTTTTAGATTCCATCGTGGCCATTTAATTTAAAATTTCAACATAATTTAGATGGACTTAAAATTAACATTTTAAGATATTATGTTTTTATGAAAGGGAACTAAAACCAACCAAACCAAATCCATTGCCGTTGAGTTGAGTCCAACTCATTGCGACCCTATAGGACAGAGTAGAGCTGCCCCATAGGGTTTCCAGGGAGCAGCTGGTGGATTCCAGCTGCCGACCACTGCACCATCAGGGCTCCATTAAAGGAAAGTGTTATGTGAAGTGCAAGTTGTTCCTGAGAGTGAGTGTAATGTTTTTGTGCTTCTGTAATTCACGTTTAATATACTGTTAAAATCAAGAAAATTTTTTTTCATGGCTCAAAATTGAAGTATTAAAATAATCTTGTTGTTAGCTGTCATCGAGTTTACCCCAACTCATAGCAACCCTTGAACAACAGACTTGGATGTTGTGATCTATAGGGTTTTCACTGCTGATTTTTGGAAGTAGATCACCAGGCCTTTCTTCTTAGTCTTTAGTCTTAGTCTGGAAACTCTGCTGAAACCTGTTCAGCTTCACAGCAACCTGCAAGCTCCATTAACAGACGGATGGTGGCTGCACTTGAAGTACATTGGCTGGAATCATAACCACATTTCCTTCGTGGAAGGCAAGAATTCTACCACTGAACCATCACTGCCCTCACAAAATGATGTTAGCACATGACAAATCTTTTCTTGTTTTCTCTCAGGTATTAGTGATCAACTTTACAGAAAACTGTCTGTCCTAATTATATAATTCTTGATATGTAATATATTGTGTATTATACAAACTCAACTAAAATGAGCCATATAATTGTGTGTATACCTTATGGGCTGATAAAATTCAAAAGAGAAACTTTGAACTTTTAACATCGTAAGAATTGAAACACCTCACAAAATTTAAGGAAGATTCTATTTTTAAATAGCTTTATGTATAAGTTGTCTCACAATTTTCCCATGTTTTCCTTGGCACTTTTATAGTATTAACTATAATTTAAATATATAAGGAAAAAAAAAAAACCATTTTAACTACATGTATTTTTATTCTTTCTAGGCCTTGGTGTTTTCTCTGTAGCTCATTAATTAGTTGGGGAGCCATTTATATAGATAGTAACATATACTAGTAATTTGAACCTTTGCTAATAATTACAAATGACTACAAACTACTTCATGAAAAACAGTGATCTTGTTCTTTAAGTTTCAAAAAAATGTTTTACTGATAAATATAATACAATGTTTTGAGCAACAGAAAGACCACGGATCATGAAGAGAGAAGACCTGGTCACCAATGGCTGTGTGATCTTGAGGCAGTCTATTAAGCTCACCAAGCTTCCGTTTGCTTATGTTTAAAAAAAAGTCATCATCATCATATTTGCCCTGGAAGCACTCCCAAATTATCTCAGCCACATTAAAATAGATGACTCTGTAATCTATTTCCTAAGCTTCACTTATTTCCCTAATTCCAAACATACTTTTTCAACTACCCACTCATTATACATACCTGAGTCACCTTCAGATTCAGTATTTCCAATGTCTTCACAAAGTTTCTCAGTTTAGAGCGTCATCTGCTAACTGAAAGGTTGTTGGTTTGAACTCACCAGCTTTTCCCTGGGAGAAAGATGTGGCAGCCTGCTTCCATAAAGATTTGCAGTCTTGGAAACCCTATGGGGCAGTGCTACTCTGTCCTGTAGGGTTGCAATGAGTCGGAATTGACTCAATGGCAATCGGTTTGGTTTGGTTTGATTTTTTAATCTACAGGGTTGTTGTGAAGATTGCAAGACATCATGTGCCTTATAAATTATCAAGTGCTGTGAAAATATAAATAATGATTAATGAAAAATATATTTAGGGACTCACCTTAACTAAAACAGTTAAATATAATATTTTCATCTAAAGACATAGTTATGCTGACTTAATGTAGTGATTTTAATGTTTTCCTTTAAACAGATAAGATACTATAAAATCTTGGTGATAAGAATGTTCTGCTTATTGAGTCAGGCAACCTTCAGTGTTTATTCTGCTTCTCTTTAAGAATGAACCAATTTTTGGTGCACATACACAGTAATGAGATGGAAGCATATTACTGTACAGCTTGGCCTGGATTATAAGCGGCAAAAAATTTTTAACACTTGTCACGCCCTAGTTAGAGTGGGACCAGTTGCTAAGTCTCTATGCACCTTTTTCCCCACTTTGTAGGACAAAGGGCAGAGAGTCAATCTTTTCTAAATTCTATTTCAGCTCTAAACATGTAGTTCCATCAGGGGATTGTAACAGATTTTGACCTATCAGATATATTACACTCTTTTTCTCTCCCTAAGTCTGGTTGGTGCAAACGGTTAATGTGAACGGCTGCTAACTGAAATGTTACAGGTTTGAGTCCATGCAGAGACATCTTGGAAGCAAAGTCTGGTGATCTACTTCCAAAAAATCAGCCATGAAAACCCTATGGCATAGTTCAGTCTGACACACATGGAGTTGCCATGAGTTGGAATCGACTCAATAGCACTGGTACTAGTTTCTCCTCCTATTGTCTCATAATTTAAAGAATATAAAAGTGTAGTCACAAAGTTGCTAAAATTACTAATTTAGTTAATCAGTGCTTGAATGCATGTCTTAACTTTCCCCAGTTTCAGCCCAGTTTCTTCAGATAGATTAATACAAAGCAGCCTCTCAAGTTCAGGTGAGTATTTACCCGTTCATTTACTGTTCATCTCTTTCCCCTTCTGGGAAGAGAAAGAGAAAAGAAATAGATAAAAAAGGAAACATAAAGGATACATTTGCATTCATCCTCTCTTCCTTCTTTATTAATAGCATGATATGGTAGATCATTTGTGGATTTCTTGCTAGAGTTTTTATACTCTGAGAGTGCCAAAGATCCATGACATTGTATTTTGGCCATTTTTTGTTTCTTTTAAAGAGTTTTATTTTTCTATATGCTTATCTGCACTGGAGTAAAAGCCTTCTTATTTAATTTTCTGGCAAGATGCTGCTAGAATGTCTAAAACAAAACCAAACAACAACAACAACAACAACAAAAACCCAACATCTAATTCTGTAGGATATGCACATTATAGCATGAGTGTTGGTTCTATTTAAGAATGGGAAATTTCCTTTAATTTGCTGCTGAAACCCATTTCTCTTTTTAATGTTCTTTTCAGCTGATCCAGACACAAGATTGTCTTTGACTTTGACAAATTGTACACTTTAATTAGCTCTGTGGATTGCAGAGTCAGAATGCTGGATTGAGTTTTCCATTCTGTCCTTTGCTTAAGCTAAATTTGCTAAGCACAGTTGTCACATGGTAATAATAACTTAGCTCTTTGGAGAAGGTAGGCTCAAACTTAGTTAAAATGCAGTAGATCCTTTGCTGAATAGTTTCTTCTCTGCTAAAGTCAAAATAGTTCTCTGAAAACTAGCAACCGTACAACTGCACTTTCTAATGGGGTTACCAATTTTGTCCTCTAACTCTTTAAGTACTTGGTAAGCCAAACTGAAAGGCTGGCAGTTCAAGTGCACCCAGAAATGCCCCAGAAGAAAGCCTTGATCATCTACTTCCAAAGGATCAGCCATGGGGTTGCCATGAGTTGGAATCAACTCAACACACCTGGTTTAAGCCAAAGGCATTATCTATGTTTGGGACATTTTGTGCTGTATTAGAATTGTAAGTGGTTCTAGGAATTAGATTAGACTGAGACACAGGTTCTTTAAAATTAGCAGCATCATCCTATGATTCATGCCCTATTATCCAGGTAATATATTTGTACTACGTGGCAATGTTAACCAGTTGCTTTCGAGTCGATTCCAATGCATGACAACCCCCTGTGTGTCAGAGTAGAGTTGTGCTCCATAGGGTTTTCCAAATGGCTGGAGACAAAGATGGAACCTAAAAAGCTGTCTCTGAGCAGCCAAAGTAGATCCCATGCTTCAAAACTCATTACTGTTATAAAAGAGAGCCTGCTCAAACACTCAGAGCTTGGGTGCTTTAAATCTGCTTAAAATTCAAGCTGATAATGGTTGTCTGAATTCTCAACCAAGAGCCGATTAAGTAGCACTTTTGTAGGTGGGCTTCTCAAAGAAGGCATTGTACAAATGGTAACAGTTGACAGCCCAAAGTAAGGGGATGGAGGGGTGAAAGAACTATAAGTGATCGTAAAAGCCAAAAAACAAAAACAACCTTGGGGAGTCATTTAATGCAGTGCTCAGTGCTTCTCAAAAGGAACCCTCTCAACTTTTTTTAAAATTTTCAATTCATCACAGACTGATACTTTTGTAAAATACAATAATAATGAATAACTAGAAAACTAAAAAGACATGCAAGATAAGCAAGCCCCGAATTTTATTATTAGTTTGAATTATTCTGTCAAATTGTTATAAAAGTTTCTAAATATTTATTGTTAATTTCTGGACTCATTTGTTTATAGTTTGCAAATGGCACTTAGCTTCCATCCACACCTTGAGTTGGACTGATTTACTGTAAAAGCAAAGAACTCTCCACCACCTAATAGCTCTAATAACATTGTTCCCTCTGGTCTTCTACGCTGATGATGAATGTGATAGTTGTATTAAATCACATCATCACCATTATTATCAAAAATGGTATATTTATACTTGCTTTTGAAGAAACCAAGGGAGAAAATTCAGCAAGATTTCTATGAACATGCTTGAAATACATAAAAATGCATGCAGATACGTGATAAGCTTCAATTATGTGGAAAATTCGCAAGTGTGGTATGACTCATTTGCTCTAGATGATGCCAACACCCAGCAGAGCAAGACCACCAGGAACACACCTGTAGTTAAACAAGCTGCATTTCTTTCTTGTTGCAGAAAGAGAACACACACCATGGGGAAACCATGGAGTGTCTCCGTAAGAAGTCATTACAGGAGTGGAGCTTTGGTTGGGTGAATTAGGGAAGGGTGTAAAAAGTGAGGGTTCTCTCTAGGTTGGTGTCTTACTTACCTAATGCTGCTGTAATCGAAATACCACAAGTGGGTGGCTTTAACAAAAAGAGGTTTGTTCTCTCATAGTCTGGAGGCTAGAGGTCTAAATTCAGGGCCTCAACTCCAGGGGAAGGCTTTTTCTCTCTGTTAGCTCTGGGGGAAGTTCTTGTCATCCATCTTCCCTGGTCTGGGGGCTTCTCAGTGTAGGAACCCCTGGTCCAAAGAATGCATTCTGCTCCTGGCACTTATTTCTTGGTGGCATGAGTCCCTGTCCTCTCTGCTAGTTTCTCTCTTTTATATCTATAAAGAGATTGATTCAAGATAAAACCTAATCCTGTAGATTGAACCCTACCTTATTAACATAACTGCCTCTAATCCTACCTCATTAACATCATAGAGGTGGGATTTACAACACATAGGATAATCCCATCAGATCACAGAATGTTGGACAATCACACAATAATGGGAGTCATGGCCTAGCCAAGTTGACACGCATTTTTGGAGGACAAAATTCAATTCATAACAGCTGGCTATCAGAAAGCAGGAGTAACTCTATGATGGGGCAATATATAGGTGGCACAGTGACTTTGTTTTTCTCTGTGCTTAGAAAAAATTATGAAGTGGCCTTGTTTTGTTTCATGTTTTCATTGTCTCAGAACAGTATTGTCTAAGGCTGGTATTCTGTGAGTTTGCTTACATCCAACAGGAGAACAAAATGACCTGGCTGTGAGCATCAGACTAGCTTGTAATAATACTGATGTCAAATCAGTTCCAGACGTCAGAAGCTGTTTTTCTTCTTTCTTAATGATGAGTAAAAGTGATATCACATAAAATTGAAAATAAAACTTAAATATTGTTAAGTGTCTAAATCTTGATCTTCTTTTTTTTTTAACCAGCTCCTTTCAGGGAAATTTCTCCAGTGACAGAGCACAAGTGTGTTAACAGAAGAGTTTTTGACCTAACCGAATAGTCTATGTAGTTATGAAATAGCCATGATTTAAAAAAAAAAAAAAGATTGATTAAACTGATTGAATTTAACTAGTCAAGCTATCTGAAAGTTTCATAACATACTGACTTACTTATTTATTCAGAATAAATTTGCTACATGTGGACTGTCAGGCGTCCAGGCTGTGACATCTAGAACAATTTGAGAGAAGAACTTCATTTATATGAGCTCAGTTTTTTGGGTGAGCTTTACCCCAAAGCAGACAATCGAGTTATTTGGATAAAATGTGTGCATTTGCAGAAGTCAGCATGTTTCAGTCTGATGTCTTACATTATTTTAGGATAGAGCTTTCTATGGAATATTCTAACATTTTAAACATTGACTTGTTTCTGTTTTTCTGAATTATTGTTCCCAAGAGTCAGTAGCTTAGTGCAGAGACTTTGTCTTACTCCTGCTTTATCTCCAGCACCCAATCGAGTTCCTGACATAAAGTAGATCAATACACATCTGTGGGACTTAACTAAATAGTTTACTGGAAACTGTTAACATGTCTTAGTTTAAAATTTGTAAGCGAACTTCTGGACTTCTATCTTAAGAGTACTCAACACTGAAATTATCTTTAAATTGTGGGTCTGATGTTTTATATAATAACTGAGAACTGTAAAGCCTTTTAGATTCTCTTTAAGTTTCTTTTGAGCATAAAAACATATAATATCAACTTGAAGTTAGCAACTGAGTTAGCAGTTGAGTACATATCACAGGATGTGTATTGGAATTTTTACTGCAACAAAAATTCAGTGAGAGTGCTTTGCCATCATTATCTAACAATAAAATCAGGTCCCTTTATATCAATTACTTTAGCAGAGACCAATTAAATCAATGAAACTGTAGGAATCACTTTGCAGTGGGGGAGGGGGGGACAAAACAATAACAGTTCATTTGTTATCTGAATTTGTAGACTTTTAAAATAGATATTTAAAAGACATTGGCCATGTCCAGCTAGGCATATATTTTAGTCCTCAAAGTGAAAATCCACATTTTTAAGCCGAATTTCTTGTTAAATCATTGTTTAACCTTTCCCCTACTCCCTCTTCCTCAGGTGTCAAGGAGAACTAAGTTAGAGTCTAAGAAGCACAATTATGTCTTTCTAATAGTTGTTCCTTAGAGGATGTAGTTTTTTGTCATATTGTAGATGTCATGTCATTGAACACAAGGGACCCATGTGAAAATATAATAATATATTATTATCATTGGTTCATGTTAACTATATACACTTACAGGAGTATACTTGTGTAAATTGCTCCACTTCATGATACATGAAGTGGAAGGAAAGATGCATTTTCATTTGCATATTTAAAATTTATTTTCATGTTTATTCAAATCAAAGAACTGTATCCCAGAAATGTTTTCATGTTTTAGTTCCAGAAGCGTTTGCCATTTAATCAGGGAGGGTATGAAGTTAACCACCTGCTCTGGCACTGTGTTGCTGCTTGGTCGTGCATTCAGAATAACAGTCCTAAGTTGAACAATGTGCTTGAACATCTCTACTTCCATAAAACACAGCTTCAAAATAAATGCTGGTAAGGGTGATCCTATAAATCCACAGTAACTCATGGAGCAACCTTTGTGCTTAAATGCTAAATAACCTTTGTACTTAAATGTTAATCATACCTTAGTTGACTATGAGAAAAATTTATAATCTCAGTTCCAAATGCAAGGGCAATTTATGTATTTTGTATTAGTTCATTTCATCAATAAATTGTTCCTACCCTTTTTTTTTTTTGCCAGAAATGCATTTATATATTGTACAGTTTGTCTTTATTAAATGAAATTTATTAATGGTAAGAAGTTCCATCCCTACATTTAAAACATTCTCTATTTTCCAAGTTGTTGAACAATAGGAATGAAATACAGTTTACTGTCCTTGAAAGAAATGTACTCAGATTTTCTTTTTCTATGCCTTATTTGTGAGGTATAATAAAGATGAATCTTGACTGATAATCATTATTTCCTTCCTGTTCGTATGCTAATTTGAGAAGGGAAAAAGAAGTCTAAGTTATATATAAAAAAGGTCATGAGTTCAATGAAGGAAAGAATTTTAAAGGAATATTTCTGAGGAAATTGATGAGGGGGTATCCCTTCCCAATATTTGAGAAGGATCAGAGCTTTGAATTCCTTTTTTCAATGCAAACAGTAATAATCTGTCGTCCTATGTTGTTAGGTGCTGTCGGGTAAGCTCCTACTCATAACAACCCTATGCACAACAGAACAAAACCCTGCCAGGTCCTGCGCCATCCTCACAATTGTTGCTATGTTTGAGTCTATTGATGCAGTCACTGTGTGAGTCCATCTCGTCGAGGGTCTTCCTCTTTTTTGCTGAACCTCTACTATACCAAGCATGATGTTCTTCTCTAAGGACTGGTTCCTCCCGATAAGATGGTCAAAGTGTGTGAGACAAAGTCTCTCTGTCCTTTCTTCTAAGGAGCATTCTGGCTGTATTTCCTTAAGATGGATTTATTCATTCTTCTGGCAGTCCATGGTATATTCAGTATTCTTTGCCAATACCATAATGCATCAATTCTTCTCCAGTCTTCCTTTTTTATTGTTCAGCTTTCACATGCATATGAGGTGATTGAAAATACCATGACTTGGGTCAGGTGCATCTTAGTCATCAAAGTGACATCTTTGGTTTTTAACACTTCAAAGAGGTCTTTTGCAGCAGATTTACCCAATTCAGTGTGTTGTTTGATTTCTTGACTGCTGCTTCTCTGGGCATTGATTGGTGATCCAAAAAGAATGAAATCCTTGACAACTTCAATTTCCTTGTCATTTATCATGATGTTGTTTATTGGTCCAGTTGTAAGGTTTTTTGTTTTCTTTATATTGAGATATAATCCATACTGAAAGCTGTGTTCTTTGATCTTCATCAGTAATTATTTCAAATTATCTTCACTTTCAGCAAGCAAGGTTGTGTCATCTGCATATCACATAGAGGATTCTAGGAGATTCACATATGTGACTTAGGTTCCAAAAAGACAAACAACTAGAACTACTTTAGCTATTAGAAGACTCTCACTTGATTTAAAAAGATGACATAAATTGTATTTTGCCATATGAAATGAATGTTGCATGACTTTGTCAAATTTATTTTCAAAGTACTCTAACAAATACCAAATAAGTTTAACTAAATACCGAGATAGTAAAAGTGGCTGTTTACAAATATTTAATTCTGTAATCAATTATTTGTTTTTTTAAACCAGTTTTCAGTTTTACTATATTGTCTCAATATTTATTTAATGTATGTGCTAATAATACATGTTTAAGATTGTCTATAAACATTTATGGGCTAGTTATTTTTTTCATTCTTAGTATTTTATAGATTTGGGGAGATTGGAGATAATATAAAACTGTTCTTATGAAATGAGGCAAAAAAATTGCTTGTGCCAATGTAAATGAGTGGTTCTCATTTGCCCATTTCTGATGCTAACAGTCAGTAGATGATTCATCATGTATATCTCTGCCTGACTTACTATAACCGCCTTTATCAAGATCCTACAATACAGCAGGAGCCAGGTAGAAGCAGATGGTTTCCAATGAGCCTACAAAAGGGAAGGCCCAGGATCCATGAACAGACTGAAGTCAGGCAACCACAGAATTTGAGCAGCCTTGCTGGGGAAGAAACAAAAAGATGAGGAAAGGAAATGCACTAAAGAGGATAAATTACAAAACAAGGAGAGAGAAGCAGAGAAAAAGAGAATGCAGGAGCCCACTCCCTGCTGTCATGCCATTGGCCTTTATCTGGGAAGTTTAGCTGCCTGGGCTACAGATAAGCAGCTTGCTGTAAGGCAGATTTCCGTTTAATACTGTTCAATTTTATATGACACATCATTCTCTCAATGCTCCACCCTGTGGTTTGGCATTTTATAAACTGCCCCATTTGCTCTGGGGAGACAGTTCAGCCCAGTATAAAAGGCTTCCTAATCTAACATGAAAATAATGAATTGTGTTCATAATTGAATTATTAGTCAATAAAGACTGCTGAGAAATGCAGTATGACATTTCAGTAGAGCAGTATAACGTATAAAATTATATCTCCCAAAGCAAAATAGCTGAGTTAATGTGGGCATGAATGTATTCCAAAAAAGCTTGGCAATTTAAAACTATATTTACATGGTGAGTGTTTTGCAAATGTACAGCATTTGTGTTTGGATCAAAATGAATCGAACAAAGAATCCACTGTTTTGCATAGACAGCAAGGCCTTTGCTTTTCACCTGGATTGCTGATATCCACATTGGCTATGTCCCTCAACCTTATTAATGATAATGATCATGTGATAGTCTAAGAAAAGCCTTTCAAATAAAGCTTGCATCAGTAATTTTCCTTCATGCCTCATGAGCTGAAAGTGTTAACATAGGTCCCCACTCTTTTGATTCATTTTCTAACTTTCTTATTGATCCTTTGATTCTCTGAGCTAATTATAATCATTTAGTCTGTACCAATAGAAAATTTAAAATTTATGCTTTGTTACCTTATCATGTAAAAATTCAACCTCCAATTATAAGACCTGAGTTTTAGTCCTATCTTTTGCTCCCTGTCTGTTTTTGAACAAGTCACTTAACCTCTATGAAGCAAAGCCTGTTTAGCAGTTAAATAATAATAGCCAGCTCAAAGAGTTGTTGAGAAGTTTAAGTATTATGACAACACTTTTTACACTCCTAATTTCCCCCTGGACACTTCATGTCCTGCTTTATTCAGATCCTCCCAAATTAGGCTCCTGCCTACTGAATTTCTACCTCAGTACATGATACGTGTCCTGTCCTCAAGTTAACCTAGTTAAACATCTTCACTCTTCCACCTCACTTTCCCCATCCAATCAAGTTAAATACAGTAACTTCATTTCAGAACTATTCTCCTGATCTCTATTCCCACTGCCACAATCTGGGTTCAGGCCCTTATTGTCTCCTGACTGTTATACCTTCTTGTCTCTTTGCCATAAATCTTCCCTCCAGTAATCTATCCTACACACTGCTGCCAGAGTTATACTGCAAATATGATTACATCACTCTCCCGCTTAAAATTATTCAATAAGAACTGTTTTAAAATAGTGCAGGGGTTACAGCCCCAGAGTAGCCTCTTAGAATGTCAAACAGTGCAAAAACGAAGACTGAAAGATCCTGCCACTGGGATTGACTGCAAAACAGCCAGATGAAGTGCTTGATGAGATTGGATGGAGGAAAACAATCAGGGACTTGCTTATACCTCCCCCCATGAAAGAGTAGTCATTGCTTCTCTGATCTGCCATTCCTACCCCCAGTCTTCCTCGTCCCAGACCCAGGATCTATTCCAATCTACTGTTCCACACTGGCTGAAATTCTGCTTCTGAAGATGGGCAAGGTATCTACACTCATTTTTGCCCAATCTCCATTATTCTGCATACATTTTAATATTGTATCTCAGTTATCTAGTGCTGTATAACACAAGTACCACAAACGGAAATTTGTTTTCTCACAGTTTAGGAGGCTAGAAGTCCGAATCCAGGGTGCCGGCTTCTAGGGGAAGGCTTTCGCTCTCTGCCAGCTCTGGAGGAAGGTCCTTGTCTCTTCTGAGCTTCTGCTCCTGGGTAATATTCATGTGGCTTGACATCTCTCTTCCCGCATTTCTGTTTTTCTTGCTGCTTGTTCAATCTCTTTTATGTCGCAAAAGAGATAGACTCAAGACACACCCTACACTAATCCTGCCTCATTAACATAACAAAGACAGCCCATTCCCAAATGGGATTATAACCACAGGCATAGAGGTTAGGATTTACAGTACGTATTTTGGGGAGATACAATTCAATCCGTAACATACTGTAAATTCAGGAAGACAACAGCACGGGCAGTAGATACAGGAAATGGAAGGGCTATGAAGAAGTAGTTGCCAAGGTAGAAGTGTCATAAACAGGCATAGAGAAAGAACCCTTTCAACAAACATACTAGAGACTAGATTTTCATGTTCTCCATTTCTTCTATTGGTAAGTACCAAAAAGCAGGAAGTAACGAGAAACACATACCGGGCGCGCGCACACACGCACGCGCACACACACACGCGCGCGCACACACACACACACACACACACACACACACACACACACATGCACGCATTCTTTAAAGTAATTTTCTTAAATGGCCAAAATCAAGAATGAGATCCTGATCACCCTCTCCTTTATACAATGAAGACTATTTTCTTTCTTTTTTTAAAAAATACTTTTACTCTCCTTCAACGTCTGTAACTATAATCTTGAGTTTCTGATCAGATTTTGGTTAAATTATTGTATAAAATGCTGTATTTTCTTCTTAAAGGATTATTACATATTTAATTTTGTCATCATATTTATAAAATTATTTTGACATAATAAAATTTACGTGTTTTCCCCACTCACTGATAGCCATTTCATGCTATGATTTACCA